TAACCATCACTTTTCATGATGAAAAACTACTTACTTACTAAGTGTGGGTTATTATGCATCTACTATCATTATATGTCCATAGGTCATTATTCCTAAAGAGGGACATTTACATAATGAAATGTTCATAAATGACTGGTATATATAAAGAATCTGCAACCCTTCTAAAAAGAATAATTGACTAAATAACTAATACTGTTAATTCAGTGTGAGAATTTACCACATGATAAGTGCTCATGTTAAAATTTTAATTAAAAATTACACTTAAACATCTAAGGAAGTTTTATGAAGTAGTGGTATTATCTGTCAAAGAAACTTAAAACATATTAGATAACTTAAATATTAGACAATTAGAAAGTAACTAAGCTGAGACCCTTTGCATCAAGCCAATGTTTTTCAGTACAGTGCTATGATATGTTCCAGAGATTTGGGTGTTTGTTTATTTGAGATAGATTGAGATAGACAGAGAGGGAACTCCCGTCTGCTGATTCACCCCCCAAAATGTCTATGATAGCCAGGCTAGACAAGACTGAAGCTAGCATCTAGGAACTCACTCCAGGCTTCCCACATGGGTGGCAGGAATCCAATTACTTAAGTCATCACTACTGTCTCCAGGGTCTGCATTAGTGGGAAACTGGAGTCAGATGCAAGAGGCAGATATTGAACCCAGATACTGCGTTGTGGGACGCAGACATTCTAATTAATAGGCAAATACCTGCCCCAAGTTTTGGGTTTTTCACTTAAAGAAAGGAGAGATGTGATGTGGTCTTATGCTTGTCCGCAGAACTGGTAGGTAGACTTGATAGGAGTTGTTCCATGCAGAGACTGGGATCATGTGCAGACAAGATGAAACACAGATTTGTTTTCATAGTGGAAAGGAACAGTTTAGTGATTTTAAAATGTATTTTAAAATGAATTTAGCAACCTTAAGATGTAATTTTTTCCTTGTCAAGGAAGTACTGTGTTCATGAAGACATGAAAAGAAGCATCTTTCAGGTATACCATTAAAGATAGTCTCAATATAAATAAAAACTTGAGTCACTTAAATTCCTTATAATTCTGGAATTACTTTGATTATGTTTATAACATGAAAGTTTTCAATGAAACTGTCCTGGTACAATAAAACTGGAGCTTTAAACCAATGATGCAATTCAACAAACTCCTATTGCAAGAACTATTATGAACATGCCTATAGTAGTTATAAAAGTATTATAATGTACAGGCCATTGTTGAGATATTCCTAAAGGGAGGAAACAAACACATGGTAAGATGGGATCTAGGAGTTGCTCAGACAAGGCCTGGCAGGATAGGAATGACCTGTTGGGATGTCATAGTGCATGGAGCACAGTTTTACTATGGCTAAGATTGGGGGTAGATATTGTGGTGCAGTGAGTTTAAACGCCAGCTGGAGGTGTCCACTTCCCATATTGAGTCCCATCTCTGTTTCTTATCCAACTTCCTGCTAGTGCACCTTGATGGTTGTAGGCATTTGGGGAAGAACCAGAAGATGGAAGATCACCATCTCTCTCTGTCTTTCCCTCTCTCTCTCTATCACTCATTTACCATGCATTTGCTATATAATGGAATTGTGTTTAGGGTTCTGTGTATTATCTCTTTCAATTCTTACCATAAGAAATTTCCCAATTTTAATATATAGAAAATGAATTCAAGTTACTTAACCTAGGTAAAAGTTGATTAATAGTAGAGCCATGTCACATCCAGAGATGGCCTTTGAAAGCGTTCCATTGAGTTATGAAGAAAAATAAGTTCATTACTAATTCTGATTTTCAAATACTCATTCATAACTAATAGCTAATAGCATCTAACATTTGCCATTGCTCTAGTTTTCCAATACATACATATATTGCTTTAATCAATTATCAAAAACTGTGTAAGGTACTTCTCCTTTACCCCATTTTACAAATAAGGACATTGGATCTCAGGGCAATTGCGGCTTTCCTAAAGATAGACAGTGAGGAGCCCAGACATTCCCAAGTTTAGCTCACTTTCCAGTTACTCCTCAGCACTTGCCTAAATGACTCCATTCAGACAGCAGCTGTCACTCTATGAGAAGAGAGTTATTACAAGATTCATGATAAAGATTTGGATAAGTCATCTGTATTCCCTCATAGATACTACTGTTTTCAGCTCGTATTCCCTGATCAGACTACAGCCTCAAGAGAGAAGCCTGTTCACCTCATTGTGTATTTCTCAGGAAACAAGTCCCACTGGAAAGATCAATATATTCCTTAAAATAGATCTCTTGTCATGATATAATTAGTATGGAAAGTTGCATTATATTTTCATCATCTTTGCTTCGTCCTTGCCTGCCGCATGCAATTCTTTTTTCTCTATTCTAGACATTCAGGTTAATCACTGAGATGTTCTATCAACAACTGGGTTCTCCACTAATCACTCATCAAAGCTTTCTGATTATAAATAGCAAGGCTAAGCCTAGGTATTCTTGATCCAGTGACAGGTGCCTTGTTGTTCACAAAAGTGGGGTCTGAGGTGAATTATTAATCAATTCAATCCCATCAAGGTGGCATGTACCAATGCCATCTCACTGTTCCAGGTGATCAATTTCAGTTCACAGTTGGTCATGGTGGAGGGACTGGGAGTCAAAGGGAGCACATAGACAAGTCTAGTACCTGCTAATACTAACCGATGGAGTAAATAAAGGGGAGAGTGATCCAATATGGGAAGTGAGATACTCAGCAGACTCATAGAATGGCAGATGTCCTAAATAGCACTCTGGCCTCAGAATCAGCCCTAAAGGCATTCGGAGCTGGCTGAAAAGCCCATGAGAGTATTTCAGGCATGGAAAGCCAAGACACTCTGGCAAAAGATCTCTGCGAGTGAGATACCAGCGGAAAGAACAGGTCATCAAAGAAGGAGGTACCTTTCTCTGAAGGGAGGAGAGAACCTCTACTTTGACTATGAACTTGTCTAAACAAGATAAGAGTCGGAG